AAGGGTTTATTGTGAAAGGGCAAGACGATGATGTGTACTTGCTAAAGAAGGCTTTGTATAGCCTAAACAGGCTCCAAGAGCTTGGTACAACATAACTGACGAGCACTTTATGCAATTGAGGTTTAAGAAAAGTGTCAATGAAGTTACACTCTACATAAAAGGTGATGAAATCAATTTCATTATTGTTTCATTATATGTAGATGATCTATTGGTAACATGTAGCAATGAAGAACTTGTAAGGAAGTTCAAGAAAGATATGAATAAAGTCTTTGAGATGACAGATTTGGGGGAAATGACTTACTTCCTAGGAATGGAAATAAAGCAAAACAATGGAGTGTTCATTTATCAAGAAAAATATGCAAGGGAGATTCTAAAGAAATTTAGAATGGATGAATGCAAAAGTGTACGCACTCCAATGCCTCAAAAGGAAAACCTGAAGAAAAAAGATGGAGCTGAAAAGGTTGATGAAACACTATATAGAAGTTTAGTGGGTTGCTTGATATATTTGACTGCTACATGGCCTGATATTTTGTACACTGCAAGCTTTTTATCTAGATTTTTAAACTGTGGAACTGACACTCATCTTACGGTTTCTAAGCGTGTCCTTAGATATGTAAAAGGAATACCTAGTTATGGAATCAAGTTTTTTGAAAATCAAGAGTGTGTTCTACAGGGCTATTCTGATAGTGATTGGGGAGGTTTGCTGAATGATATGAAAAGTACTTCAGGCTACTGTTTTGAGCTTGGTTCAGGAGTATTCTCATGGTGCTCCAAAAAATATAATATGGTGGCTCAATCTACCATATAATCAGAATTTATAGCCGCTAATGCAGCTGTAAATCAAGAACTTTGGCTAAAAAAGGTGTTGGAAGATCTAAATTTGAAACAAGACAAAAGCATCAACTTTTTTGTGGATAATTAGGCTGCAATTGCAATTTCTCATAATCCTATATCTTTCATGGAAAAACCAAGCATTTCCAGATCAAATTGTTCTTTCTTAGGGAAGTTCAGAAAGAAGGCTTGGTTGAATTAAAGTATTGCAAAACTGATCTACAGTTAGCTGTCATACTAACTAAGTCTTTATTGAGAAGCAAATTTGAGTTTCTTAGAGAGAGACTTGGAGTTTACAGCATTCAAAGCAAGGATGAGTGTTGAAATCGTGCTTTAGTCTGATGCTACAACTTTATTTTCTTTATTTTATTTATTTTTTAGTTTTTAAAATTGTGGACTACTTCAAATAACTTAGTTAGGGTTGTTCTTAGCTTTTAGGAAGTAGTTAGCGATTCAGTTTTTATTGTTATCTTTTAAAGCCTCACCTCAAGCGAATAAACGTAAAATCATGTTTCAGTTTCTCAACTTTTTTCTCCTTCTAATTCCTAAAATATACCAACAGTAGGCTTTTGGGGCTTTCTGAAATATATTTCAATGATATTTATAGGTGCTAAAAAATTTTTGGTGTCATTGATCTTCATGCCAGATTTCTCAATGAGCTTCAATCATCTATCCTTGATTGCCCTCTGAGTAGCATTATAGAAGGAAATATAATTTTTCACTTGACACCATGAATGATCGTGCCACTAACAATAGGATCTACCATTGAGTTCCTCATTGGTCGGGAACTTTTTTCTTTTCTTCAACCTAAGTTGGTTATCCTTGAGAAGATATTCACAAATCTTCTCGTTGGAGCTTGGTATTCAATTTTTTCTATTTGGATGGTTTTAGGTTTGGGTAAGTGAATGTTTTACCTTAGGTGATAGTGGGGCCAAATGTGTTACTTTCCTCCCATATCTGAATCTGATTTTATCTCCTGAATTGGAAAAAAAATTAATGCCTACATGTTATCTATTCTCGTTAGCTATTTGAGCTTCCTAAATTATCTACTTTGCCTTGATTTCCTTGAAAGTCAATTGTCAAAAGTTGGTATACTTTTGGAAAGAAAGCTTCTTTATAACTAGGGATGTATATTATTGATTTCTGTATTTGAAACCTAGTTCTTGGGAAATTTTATCTTGCATGTATCTGTTTTCTTTCTAAAGCACTTTAATAATTGATCTACGGGCTCATCCCCTCTTTAGCATAGACTGGTAAGATCGGAGATGGTGATCTTGGGCAAAGGATTGTATAATCATTTATGGAAAGCTTATTCCATATTTTCTTAAGTTTGAAGATAATTATGCTAGAAGAAATTGTACTAGCTGAAGGCTGGCCATGAAAAGATAATGAAAATAAAAGCTTATACCAATTGTTATTTTCGAAATATTCCCCGTATTGAGCTATAAACCAACTAAAATGTTCAATCATAGCTATGAATCTTGCATAGAGAAATGTATGACTTTGAAAACCTTGAATTCGTGAGAAGTGAATGTTCAAGGGTTATGTAGTATGAGAACGACTTTGTTGGGATCCTAAAAAGATCGCCAAATACATGCTTGGCTTCTTTTGCATAGTATTTGGTTACTACAATCATGGCAAATGGTTACCATACTACATTCTTATCGGTTTTGAACGAGCAATTCTTGTTGGTTGACTTGTGGAATCGGAATATGTTAACTGGTGATAGTCTTCCTTAGGGCCTCTATCCTACTTTGAGCGAGATATTCATGTATAGAAGTGCTATGCCGATAAATTATGATGAACTTATTATTTTCAACTAAGGTGCCTAGGTTGACACATTTTCTCTAGAGAATGCAAGGATGTGTGTTTTCCCGAGGCTCCACTAGGTGGCTAAAATAGTTTATTGGTCGATAGTCGGTCCCCGTTAAGCGATTGAGTGGTGGCTTTTGATGGAGAGAAGTATGACATTAATTTTTTGACAATATTTTTGTGGTGAAGACTATGAAACTAATATTTGATTTGAACCTTCGATTATGATGGCCTACTCTACCAAAGTATAAAGTAGCTGAGGGAAGGTAGATGACGTAGACGAATATGGTTGTATAATGGTTGGAATAATGGTTGTTGCATCTTTGGCATCAAAGGTCCATGATTTGGTTGACAACTTACTTGTGGCCAAAATCCATTTGGAAGCCAGGTATGCAGGTAGTGAAATAGTCGTCTGTGACGTGGTTTGGGTGAATGATGAGTTTTGATACCAATATATATGTTATCTGTAGGCCTACTTGTTCATGCCCCCAATTCAGCTAAGAGTTGGATAAAGTGGTGGGGTTGTGACCATCCATTTGTTGGGGAAGTATAACTGAGAACATTTTTTATCTCTTTTTTTTTTTAGAGAATCGTCACTTGTACATATAGTTATGGTATAAAGATCAGAGTGACCAAACTTTTACCTTTGGGTAGCTGGTAGAAAATGTGAGATCCTGCTAATTGGGATTGTCACTTCAAGATTTTTTATTTTTTGCTTTATTAACCAAATGATCTTGTTCTTTAATGTAAGCTTGATGATGTCTACTAAATACTAAGAGATCTCTAAGGCTAGACTTTAAGGAAAATTTTGAATTTCCTCCCGAATTCGAAGACACTTATTGACATGCTTATGGTGTTTTTTTCCTCCCTTTTACTAGTGGATAATAATTTATATGACCGTTAAGGTATGGATAGTTTTTCGGCTCCTCGATTTTGTTCTTTTGCTAGCTATTGTTGACATTTTTGGTGGCCTGAGGCTATCTAACGATTGATTTCATAATAGCAAGAACATATTGAGACATTAGGGGTTCTACAAGCATGCTAATATGTTGACATAAAAAGTTTTCTTTGGATTACCTGTATGGATTTGAGTTTGGTAGGAATATAGGGAAAAGAGATTCTGCAACTAACTCAAGAAATTATGTCCTACTGAGCATACAAATTTTTTAAATAAAAATATTTCTTTTGATGACCTGTATAGATTTGGACCAATCGGAAGACTGAAAATGTTTTCCCGTTTAACTTAAGTAAGCCTTTGAACTAAGTCTCATGAATATTGAATTTATTACACTAAATGAATAATAATGATGAGAATAAAACAATTGAAAGGTTGGATTTAATTGTTGGAATTCAATAAATGAAAGTTTTTATTATTTATAGAGCTTGCAAGTTCACCCATTTACACATTTTATTCCTAAGTTTTCAGCCTTATAGGCCACCTATCCACATTATGTATGACCTTTCTAAAACATTTCTATTTAGCTGCGTCACATTTTCTCGGCTCCTCCCCTTTTGACCAAGGCCTTTTGGTATTAACTAAATTCTTTCCAGATTAGATTGTTTTTGAATTGTTTCTTTAGTATTTGTAACTTGATCTATTAAATCATCTTCCACATATTGGGCTTTGTACTAAGTCTTCTATTTAGATATTTGGTATATTTATATCTTTCTCTCTCAATCTTTTTTTGAGCCATCATTAACAATATTATTTATTTTTCGTCCGAAATCAATTTATCCATTTTTAATAATTATAGTCTTAATAAATATAAAAAAAAAACTTTTGTATTTTAATTATAGTTAAAACGAGTTAGCATAGTGGATTAGCCTATAACCACCTATAGACCGCAAATAAACAAATTGATTGTAGGCTAACCCGCGAGAGGACATGATAAAATTTAGTCAGTCCAACTCTATCCAAAAAATAATTAATAAGTAGTATCCTAGAGTTTATAAATAAACATTTCAAAATAAATAACTAATGTAAAACAATACAAAGTTCTAAATCTCAGTAGTAGGTATATTTAAATATAATAATAATAGAAAATATTTAAATAAATCAGAATTATTTTTACGAATTTGTTAATAAATTGTAGAAATAGAAACTTATAAAATAATAAAATATGAAAGAAAAACTAAACAAACCATGCAATGTCGGAAGAAAAAAATAGTGACATCAATGCAAAAATTAGAAGAGAAGAAGGATATAGATAATATTGATTAATTGGTTTAACATAATATAAAATATTTTAGTAAGTTATTTATTAATTTAATTTAATTTAAAATATTTTAAAAAATTCTTACTTAAACATTCTCATCTTCTTTGTTTTTATTTTTGTTTTTTTTAAATAACGTTGGAGGCGATCCCACGGACAATAGTTATGGATCCAAATGGTAAGCAACTGTTGTTGTGGCCTGTGGAGGAAGTGGAAACCCTAAGAGGGAAAGAGGTCACAGTCAAAAATCATAAGCTTAACAAAGGAGACCAACTTGAAATCAAAGGGATAACATCTGCACAGGTCATACATACATACACACATATGTATATATATCTTAATTATAATTTAATTATAATTTAATTTAATATGATTTGATTTGTTCTATAAGATGATGAAGAAGAAGATGATGATGCAGGCTGACATGGAAGTTATATTCTCGTTCGACAGCTTGGAGAAGGCAGAGGTGTTTGATCCGATCTGGATTCGATATGATGCGCAGAAACTTTGTGGCGAAAAGGATTCGACAGTGGAGGGCGGGTTAGGACCGTTCGGGCTCATAACATTGGCTTCAAAAAACCTCAAGGAATATACGCCCATATTTTTGAGAGTTTTTAGGGATCCACAAAACAATGATAGTACTAACAAGTATAGAGTGCTTATGTGCTCTGATGCATCCAGGTAAGGTACTTTTTTTTTTCTCTTATCGTTTGCATGTCAGCAGAGCTATTAAACGAATCGAGTAGCTCACGGACCAAGCTCTACTCAAACCGTTAATATCTCGACTCGACTAATTATAGAGATAAATTATTATTTCTATAAATGAGCTGAAGTCGAGTTCAAAAATTATTATTTCTATAAATGACCCAAGGTCGAGCTCAACTTGCGGCTACGTAGTTCAATTAAGTTTGTTAGTGATTATATATTTATATTAATGAATATATTAATATAATATATAACTTTAATATAAAAAATTATAATTATCAATTGAATTTAAATATGTTATTAAAATAAATTATAAATAACATTAGATATATTTAATTTATACATTATATGTAGAAGATTCAAGCCAACCTCAAATTTAAGTTCGGTTTTGAGCCTCATGAGCCTAGCTCAAATTCTTAACAAGTCGAGTCCAGTCGAGCCTATATCGATAAAAATTCGAGTTAAGCTCGAACAACAGATACTCGAACTCGCTTGACTCATTCAACAGTTATATATCAATCATATAATGTTGAATGTTGTAACGAATGAAGAAATGAATGAATGAACAGAAGCAGCCTAAAGGATGGGAAAGACCGGTCGAATCTAAAAGATGGTAAGGATGCGTATAGGCCTTCATTTGGAGGATTTGTTAACATAGAGTTCAACAAGGATACGGTCGAAAACCACATTTCCTTAAGGACTTTGGTATGTATAAATGTAGAGAGACAAAAACTATTCGATCTTATCTGACCCCAATAATGTCCAATGTAATTGTATTTATTTTCGCAGATAGACAATTCTGTGGTGGAGAGCTTTGCGGAAAGAGGAAAGACGTGCATTACATCTAGGGTTTATCCGACTCTAGCGCAACATGAAAACGCAAAATTGCTTCTATTCAACAATGGCAGCGAGCCCATTGATATCAAGAGTTTCAAAGCTTGGCCAATGAGCAATGCTCGACTGGGAGATCGATGAATTAACTAACTAACAAAGATATTATATTCAATTCTTTCGTGATATGTCGTCTAATTTTGTACAAATTTTGTTTATGGTTGTGTAAAAATTTATTTGAATCAAATCTTTCATCAAACTACCCGGTTTTTGACACAAATTTAGGCATGCTGTAGGAATTGATAAAACACGTGGATTCAAAAAATACACTATATATATTAAGTTGTGCATAGATTCAACTTTGTTCATGATCTAAGGCAAAGATGCAAATTAGAAACAATGGAATTTGAAAAAATACATACATGGTTTCATATAAGATTCAAAATTAAGCGTGCTTGCAAAGAGAAGAGAAGAGGCTACTAGCTTCTCGGCAGAGTAAACAATGACGGAGCTAGCATTATTCCATCGAGGGGCTTAAGGATTTTGTTGAGAAATAAAAAGTCATATATTTTTATCATTTTGAGCTAAATTAATTGTAAAAATATGTACATATTGACTTATTCAATCAATATTAAAATATTGACTTGGTAAGAATTGATCAAATCCGACTAGTTAGATAGTCCATATATTTAACAACATAATCGATGTAACAACAAACACGACAGCTCAGGGGCTCGAAACCCCCCTATGTGGTAGTAGAAATCCTAAGACTTCAATTTTATCCTTATAAAAAAAATACAAAATTAATATTAAAATATTATTTTTTTTAATCTCTATGCCAAAAACGTTGCAGTCATGTGCTAACTATGCCAAAAAAATGCGGTGGTCATGTGCTAACAAATATCATATGACATTACTACCGTCAGAACATCATATATATATATTATTATAATACAAATACCTTATATAAACTAATATCACATGATATAGTCTCACATAATACATGCAATAATTGATTTTAATACATAATATACTCCTAGACAACATACATTACAAATATAAACAACAACACATCATTATTTCATACAACACACAACATATGCTGTTTAAAACAAAAATATGCGTTCTTTTTATATATGTTTATTTAGGGTGTGTTCGTTTGGGATTTATCTTCTAAGGATTATTGTGCCACTGCACAAAATCATAAACGTGTTCATGTTTTGATTTTAGAAGGTGGTCGTATGTATTTTATGTAATTATGTCGTCGGACATGTTGATGATGTTCTAACATTGCTTTATGTGAATGTTTAGTTTGATGTTAATGATATTTTTTATTTTTTGTTTCCAAATGACATGCGTCGGAATATATTTCCGGATTGTTACCCAAAACAACTCACAACTCAAACATTTAAACAAAATTTAAACTTACACAATACATTCTATTTTTACTTTATTTAATTTTTTATGTAGGGTGTGTTGACGTGGAATTTCAACAATAAAAAGTAAAATTCAAAAATATATTCCGAACTTGAAGTAAAGATTATGAGAGATCACAAATCCCTAAAATACAGTACGCAGAGAACTAGAAAATGCACTAAGAACTGAGAAAGTTAAAATGAGTGATCCCCAATAAGATTTTTCGTGAGATGATTGAAGATTATTTTTTCTATCCTCCAACAGTCTTTAAATAAAGTCCCACTTAAACCGTCCGAAACCGTCTTTGAGTCGGTTACCCTGTTCACACGCACGTCGGTTACCCTGTTCACACGCATGTCGGTTGCCTTCAGGAAATCTTATATTGACATGTAGCAGACCAAAAATACAATCGACCAATCAGTAGTTTCAATCAGTTCAGTTCCTTCATCATCACCCTACCCAGTACCGGAATTCGGATGACCCCCTTATCTGATGCGCCAACCCAACAAGTTCGATGGTCTGTTGAGCCCTGTAAGTTGGACCAATCAAAATTCACTCTTGGCCCACCACTTGACCCAAATTCTTTCCTTATCTTTGGCCAAAACCCTAATCTTTAAAATTTGGGCTCAACAGGATTTTTTTTTTTTTAGAGATTTCTGGATTTAATATTTGATTTACGTGCAAAGTTGATGGGGCAGAAGACAAGCTCTGCGTGGCTAAGGATAGGTTGTTGCATACTGGCCATTTTTTTTTAATTATATTTTTTAAATTTTTAAAAATTGAGTACAATTTATGAGAAGTTTCTTAAAGCAAATTAATTGTTTAATTATTTGAATAATTTAAATTTAATAAAATATATACAATATATATGTCATTTTGTAGAAAATAAAATTTTATATTATAAAAAATATAAATATAAATATATCATTCTAATTAATTCAATTTAATAACCAAGTTACATCATTATTAATTTTATAAATTTAATTTAACATACATTTATATTATTATTGAGGCGTTGAAAGTTTGATCCCATGATATTCACGAGTCCAACTCTCACACCACCGTACAATCTCTTAGGGGACATAGGTGCTTACAATATTGATTAGTCATCAACTTGATAACTTGATAATGTCTAACAAAGATACATCTTAGTAAACATGCCAAATTACATGCAAATGAATTATACAAAATTGGCACCTATTATAATAGATGAATCATAGCATCAAATCTACTTTAAAATTGAAATGTAATAAAAAAAATCTAAACCAATTTTGCCAAATATTTTTCCTACATAAACACACTCTTTTATATATATATATACATATATATATTTGAGGGGATAAATATATTTGTAATGAATTTATTATTCTAAACAATGGTGTGTTGTCACTGATTAATCATTGTAGTTCTCAACATAAATACATTATCTTATATTAAATAATATTATATAAAATAATATTTCAACAAAAATTCAAATTCAAATTCAAATCAAAATCAAACAAATTTTTTTTTACATGTATTTTTAGTGATGTGTAACATTTGTTATTATATTTATCCTTAACGTAAAGTATGTATGAAAATAATCTTACATCTTACATATATTCGTTGAAAATGTTATTGGAATATTGCCATTTATGTTAATATGACACATTTCAAGCTCATATGGAATATGGCATATAGTAATTTTTAACATTTAAATTTTAATGTAAATTCAGAGTTTGCTTATCCAAATTTTTATTCGACACGATTTCAATATATATTTTATACTTTTATCAAAATTAACATTCAATATAAAATAATATTTTTTATACACTACAAAAGAAACTATGAATTAGCCAAGGAATTTTATAAAAAAATTTATTTACCTCGCAAATACCAATGGATTTAGGTATTTACATTTTTTACGAAGGAATTTTGTGAGTAGATTGATTCATTCGTAATTAACGGACATAATTTGCTAGAAATTTTGAAAATGATTTATATCTCCTAGATAAATTATAAACTATTTTATTATTTTTATTAAATTAAAAATTTTAATTAATTTCCTTATTGAATTTTTAAATTATATTAAATTAATTAAAATGATTTTTTTATAACAAAAAACTTACAAAAAATAATATATAATGTTTTATTAAAAAAATAAAAATAGTTTTAAATGAAAACAATAAACATATAAACAAATGAAATACCTATTTTATTATTATTAGTATTATCATTTTTAAATATAAAAAACAAATTATTAAATAAAATCATCTATATATCATATTATTATGGCGGCTACATTGCTAAATTTAAAATTTAATATTATGCTGAACAATGCATGGTGGGCTATTAGACAACACATAATATTACTACAAATATCACATTGTATACGTTAATATAATATAAATACAGAATATGAACAAAAAAATACATGTTATAGTCTCAACAATACAAGATATTATTACAGAGAACACACAGTATAGACATCATATTTTATGTGTTAATATAATATAAATACAATACTATATAAATTAACAACACATGCTATAGTCTTATATAATACACAATAGTTGATTTTAGCACATGACATATTTGTATACAACAAACTTATTTTTATTAAAAAACAACAAACATATTATTATTGAAAAATAACACATACCTCTATTATACATAGCATCTGCTGTATGTAATATTAATGTTTGTTATTTGTATATATAACATTGTAGTAATATGTGTTGTTTGTATACGTAACATGTGCTGATGTGAATATTCATGGGTGCATTTAACGTATTGTCCTCTCCTTGTCGTGTTGACGATTTTACCTTGGTAGATTGCGTGACTTTTTTTTCTCGCAATACTATCTTCCACCCACTCACTGTTTGCCATCATAGTTCTACCAAACCCTTTTAAATCCAATTCAATATCTTCTACCATAGCAACCCTGATCTAATCCATTTCAATTCTCCAAGAATTCAAAACCATTTAAGTTTAGGGTTTCAACCCTGCCGGACGAGAAATATTGTTATGCTTCTGAGGTCTTTGTCGACTACCGTGAATTCAAAGAAGTGCGACACAGAGAGGAAAGGGTGAATCGGTTTCCCGCCGGCGTCCAAGAACCTCATCGATCCGTCATGCAGAATTCCCGGTCGAAATCGGCGTCGAACTTCGAGCAGGCGTTCTCCTTCGGGGACCGGCAGTCTCGGTAGTTGCCATAGTTCCTCTCGAAGACCACCGGCAACACCAAATCTCTAGGTAGAATGACTTGCGTATTAGAAAGTGCCGTGTCAGTCAACATAAGGATTTCAACTTCAGGCAATCCCTGTGGGGCAATATAGAACAGACTCCTTGTTCCGCTCATCCCCTTTGTCAACTCTTTGATTGGGATACTAGCGTAGAAGTTAATCTACAAGCAAGGTAAGTAGGTCCATTACCGGCTGGCTTCGGACCGAAAAGACGCGAATTCCTCCCCATAATCCCTTACGCTTTCCACTACTCTGTGTTCGTTTCAAAATCATTCAGGAAGTTAAAATCACTGCCTAACATGATTAGTTATAGCGATTTATTCTAATTCTGGGATTGTAGCACCACGAAACTCTAGTTTGGTCTTCGGATCCTTCATTACATCACTACAAAAAAATAATATATTTGTAACGGAATTTCGTCCCTAAAGTTCACGTAGGTAACGTAATTCCATTACTAATTCCGTCTCTAATATCATTAGTAACGGAAAAAGTAGATTTAGAGACAAAAAAGTTTTGTTACAAAAATGATTTTTTCTTGTAGTGCATTTGTTTTTATAAGGCTGTATTTGATGTAATTGATAAATATCTTTATGTTACTTGGTGTCTGATAATAAAGAGATACCATTTAAGCAGCCTCAAGCACACGTAGGAATTATTTGCCTCCGCGGCTTCACGACCAGATGCTTTAACATTTGTGCTTGAAATTCAGAATTGACTCATGGGGGCTGCAGGAGCAAGAGACTCTTGATCACTTCCAAATGCAATCCGATCGATCATTTCTCATTTCCTATTCTATTCTTTGGTGGAGACGGTGTACTTGTTTTCTGGAGTGTCTAATGATTTACTCTTCTAGTTGGTAGTTATTTGCAACCATTTGATATTTCTCTCTATCAATTCCATTGACTGAACCTTTTTCTCATCCATTTATCAATTTTGCATGTAAGGTTTCCGAGATGAAGGCTAAATATTTTCCACCAAATGATAATGTAATTCTACAGAGTGAAGCTCTAACATACTTCTATATTCTTACTTTGGGGCAGTGGTATTGATTCTAGAATGCTACCTTTGATTTTTATTAGTTGTTCATGTACTCTCAACTACCTTTGATTAGGTAAATATCATCTTTTAATCAAAATATTTTTTTCAGCTTTTATCATCATCAGAAGTGCGATCATTAATGTTTGGACAGGTGCATATGCTCCGATGGAAATCGCCAAATGGAGTCGGAGGGCAAGCGGTGCTAACCATTCTGTACGGTGGGATTCTGATGTATGATTCGAGGGATAACGCCACAAATTCATTCCCAAGATAAGGAATTGTACTACAATAGCAAACACCTTGGGGGCAGTGCCTATTTGAAGCTCTAGGCGGTCCCCTTATATCCTCAATATCAGGGACAACAAGCGCTAATGGATCCGTCGGCTGACAATTATAAAGCTGCCGGTATAGCATCTCCGATGCATCCATTGCCACCCGTTACCCCACTAGCGAATCAAGCGGCGATTGATCCACAAACATTAATAGAGGTTGTTCAAAGAGTTTTTGGACAATATTTATGCCCTTTAGATTGCACATCACATCAACGATCGTACCCCGATTGGGTAGGAGCTACGATGCCATTGCCATACAATTTTAGAGTTACCGAGTTTATACTTTTTTCAAGCGAGGATGGACGTTCTAGTGTGGAGGATATAAGCGGTTTCACCGCACAATTCGACGAACCAGGCTATAATGATTGGCATAAACTTCAGCTCTTCTCATTGCCGTTAACAGGTGCCGCATTTAGTCAGTATTCGGCACTACCTCCAAATTCCGTACAATCGTGGCAAGATTTGGAAAGGGCGTTCCACGACCGATTTTACAGTCCGCCGGATGAATTTACATTGCTCAATCTAATGAGCTCAAGGAAAAAAATTGACGAGTCAGCGGTGGAGTACATTGAACATTTTCGGCAATTGAAAAGTCGTTGTAATGTTCAAATTCCAGATGCTCAAGCGATGAACATAGCCGTGAAAAACATGCACCCGTAACTTAAAAGAGAAATTGGCACAACAAAATTCGGCGACCTTTAGCAATTGGTGGTTCTTGTTGTTCATACAAAACAAATGATAAGAGAGCGACAGGTTGCTCGGGTGATTCGAACCAGGCCGGTGAATCAATCTGTTTTGATTATTGATGAGGGTGTTGATGAAAGTGCTATGGAGGAGCACGAGCTGCCAGATTTGTTTGCCGCCGGCCAAAGAAAAATATGTTAGTCCGAAGGTTGCTTATTCATTCAATATTAGTAAGGCGGATCAAATTTTTTATTTTTTGCTGAAAACAAATCAAGTTGAAGGACGGCTAGAAAATTTTGGCGTTAGACCAATTGAAAGGTCGAGTGCATGGTAAATAACATGATTCTTACAGCCATTCAATCGGGAATTGTGTGACATTTCAAAATGGCATACAACAAGCATTGAAGAGTAATCGTTTGAAATTAGCCGAGGGGAAGGATATGAAGGTTTATTCGGATCTTTTTCATGTGGATGTCAATGTTATGTCAACTAAAGGTGGAGAGTAGCAACGTAACTCTGTTTTTTAAAGTTTGAGGAGTCCACAAGCTGCACAATTTAAAGGAAATCAAGGGCGGCGATCCGGATCAATATTTCAGTGACTTGGAAATTTGAAAAACAACATTGCAAAGGGTGATTTTTCATGAGAGAGGCCGACGTTGAAAGATTGCTTGTGCCTATCATCGACGGTAGTTGAAGTTGATTCCAAGAAAGGGAACATCTTTTGCAATGTCACCATGGGTGATCGGGTAGATATTCACCCCCACATGATGAGAAAGCCTCTTATGGTACAGTCGATGGAGGAACGGATTTTTAATCGCAAGGCACATGTGGTTCAGGAGCAGAGTATCTTGTCCTTGACACAAAAAAAAGGCTACAAAGAGAGAATTTGGCTAAAAAATATCAAAATGAAGTTTCAAAGAAGAAATGGGAAGTCGAAGTAGGAAAACCAGCCATGGTAGTGGTGGAGACATTTGGAAATGTAGCTTACCTCGAAGTCAGAAAAATATTGCTAGAATGGGAACTTGGCAGGCTATTTTTTGCGAAGAAATGAATCGCTAGCAACAAAAGATGCAAATTGTATCAACGGGAAAGCAATTTCCAACTCAAGTGACTCAAAATAATATTGGAGAAAAGGCTTGCGGGTCATTGGCCACCAAGAAATTAAGCGCCAGCGACGAGAGGATCCAATTGGAAAAAATGTTTGGCGGGTTGTTTGTTGCAAAGAAACAAACCGCCAATGCCAAGATACATAGACTGTTCCAATTGGGGAGCAAATGCCGAGTATATCAACTCTAAATAGTGCGGAAAAAGATATTTGGCAGGCCGTTGGCCGCCAATGAAGTTGTTGTCAGCGACAGGAGATGTAGGTTATTTCAATTTAAAAGTGATTTTCGATGTTGATAGTTCAACAGTGGTTACCAAGGAAGCCTCAACTGACGACAACTCAAATATGGGTGCCTCTCAAATAGCAGATAGCCAGCAAGTCTGATGGAGTATACATAAAATTTGGAAAAGTTATAGTGAGTGTGGATGACAATTTGGAAAGGAAATTGAGGTTGACGAAGAAGCTACTGAGAGAGAAGTTGATGAGATTTTTAGCAAGATCAATCCATATGAAGTAGATGTTTTGGGAATACTTCCAGTTGAGTTCCATCCCAAAAGCTCGCAGCATAACCGTTTGGATGGAGATGTTAATGTAGAAGAGGTAAAGGTGTCTTCTCTTGTTGGTGATGAAGATGTTTGTTCAGAAGTGTTGGCATTTCCAAAACCTTCCGATGAACAAATTCGTCATCTCAAGCCTTTATATTTAAGGGTGTTGATCGATGGGCGTCCATCTTTACCATTGGGTTCCCTCTTTCTCTTGTTTTGTCCATCTCTTGTTTGAGAATTCTATGCAAACCTGTCAACTATGATTGATGATTCCTCCTCACCCTGGTTTCACAAAATCTACATTCAGGGAAAATTATTGGAGCTATCTTCTGATACAATCTCTGTTTTCTTGAAGGTTCCCATAAGCACTCTTGATCATGGCCTCAATCATTATCTGACTATACCTTATTATGTCGTTGGGAAAGTTATCTCTGTTGGAAAGTTTGCGGATTTTGGGCACACGGTTTTCAGCCCGGCCTTGTTTACAGTTAAGTACCACTATCTTTATCACCTATGTGCTTCCAATATACTGCCCATATCTAACTCCTCAAATGTCAGCACTCAAATGGGAGTTTTGGTTTATTGCATTGATTCATGTTTAGACTCCATAAATTTTGGGAGAGTTGTTCTGGGCCCAATGCTGACATTCTCTCTTGATAATATCTGTGATGGCTTCAATTTTCCATACCCGGCCTTGATCACTGGATTGCTTGCCTCAATGGGGATTCATCCATCTGCCGATGAAGCTGTCATACATGTCAAATCTCGTCGTCCTTCGAAGAATATGTCAATCACACACAATGATCTAAAGGATGGGCCAGCACTCTTTGGAGAAGAGCTGGTTCTGTTTCTCCAGTCAGAGAATCGTAAGCATGAACAAGAGCTATTTCAGTTGGAGCAACAAAGTGCTAAGATTCGGCATTCCATTGGGAAGATGAATAGGATGCTTCGCGACATTCTACATCATGGTGATAATGTTGAGGATGGACATGTTGATGAAGAAGATGGACATGATGATGACGGAGATGATTACTCTGGTTCATGTTAACCAAAGGGTGAGAAGAAGGAGATGTTGATGTTGGAGTGTTTGTTTTAAAGCTAGAGGCTCTGTGGATTGAGATGATGGAGGTTTCGTGACATTGCTGCTGTGACATTGTTGCTGCCCCAATTTTTGCATGAAAGTGGTTGTTGCCCATGTCGTGTTCTTTTTACTTTTGATTGATTATGTATGGGGGTTGAACTAGTATAAACTTTGTTGTTTTTGTGTTTGTGCATGCATTTTTTGGTTGTTGACTTGAGGGGGAGTTTAATTTGTATTAGCCTAGACGTATTTCATGGTGTTGCATCTCTTCTGGTTGGTCAACATCAACCAAAATGAGGGAGATTGTTAATAGTTGATATGATTTTTAGTTCTGGTTGATGGTTTTCTGCAGGAAGATCGATCAACCAGTGAAATCCAGTGGCGTACAGAAGTCCAATTGAGCTTGGGCTTGATTCCGTAAATGTGCCCCAATATGAAGATATCCAATAGATGTTACCAAAAAGAAAAATGAGAAGGAGGTTGGTCCCTTCAGTGGCGTAACTGAGATAGATTCGCAGATTATGTTACAACAAACCAAATAAAATATACTACAGATTATAGAGGGATAGAGATGAGGTGGTGGTTGATGATCAGTGTGTGGAAAAAGATACTGAGCATCTGTGATCTAGTGAGGAAGAAAAAAAGGCTTGAATGAGTGTTATATGGTGTGATGTAAGGCAAAAAGAAATATGAGAGTTGGGGTTTGAGGATTTCTGTGTGCTAAACATTGAAGAGTGTATCATTTTAAGTCTGAACTATTCCTTAATGAGTTGAGATGAGCCTGGGTTGGAACCCCCCAAATGTAGGTCATTGATGACCGAACTGGGTTAACAACTGGTTTTTGCATTTTGATTTTACTGCTTTCAGTGTGCCTACATTGTTTGGTCTGGTTACAAACTCTCTGTGTCTAATCGAGTTCATCTTGGGGTGGTGAGGTTTTGTTCTTATTGTTTGCTGGATTTGGTTAGTTAGGACCTACAAGGTCCTTCCTTTAGCTGAGGATTTTCCGGCTATTTATTGATGATGGTCTAATGAGCTTGTTATTATAGGGCCGAGATTATTTCGGCTGCTCACTTACAGAGATGCAGTGAGCCTATTATTATGGATCCGAGGTTATTCCGGTTGCTCACTTCGACGGATGTATATATGTGTATGTGCATGGTTGTCGAGTTTGATATCTTTGTTACATCATTTCACTATTGACATGGCACAACACGTATTTTGTGATTGACGGGGATTAGACTTTATTTTAAAAAGTATGATATGACATATTTCATGTTAGTTCTTAAAATGGATTTAATTCTAGACTGATTTTAAGAAAAATAATTGGTCCAGGTATGCATGGCACCTCCGGGACAGAGGACGTCTCGGATATAGAAAGGCGGGCTGAGTGAGTGAACTTGCCTCTGTTGTATTATATGTAAATTTTTAACTGGAAAACTTCATGTTTAGGTGCATGTTTTTGAAAATATTCATAAATCGAATTCTTTTATATAAAAATGTTTTTATAGTTAATTTAGCCTTAACACTGTATTGTGGGGCCCGAAGTAGAATGTGACGACCTCATAATGCAGTGTGGCGGTAGCATTTCTAGTATGAGCCAACTGGGGGTTGTTACATTCATTCTTGGGGCGACTGATTATTTTACGAAATGGGCGAAGGCTGCTCCATATGTGAGCATCAATTAGATGGATGTTATCCGGTTCATAAAAAATATATATAATTAACCACTTTGAAATTTCTTAAACGATTACGGTTGATCAAGAGGCAGTGTTTACTAGAGAGCGAGTCAAAGCGTTTGTGGTTCAATATGAGATCAAATTAATTCATTCATTACCGTATTACGCTTAGGCCAACGGGCAGGCCGAGGTTACAAATAAAAATTCGGAGATGAGCATTACAAAGGTATTGGGGAGATAGCCCTCGAAAATGGCATGAAGTTTTATTGGAGGCACTGTAGGCATATCGGAATGCCAAGAACATTGCGATTGGTTTTTCATTTTTCCGATTAACATATGGACAAAATGCTATGTTGCCAATAGAGATCACGGTTTCTTCTCTGCGGGTCACTTTACAGCATGGATTGAGCATTGAAGATTATCACTAGGTGTTGTTTGATGAGCTCAATCAGGTGAAGGAGCGATGGATTGCTTTTGAAAATATCCAGCCACATAAGCCAATGTGGCACAATAGTATAATAAAAAAGTTAAAGGCCGATCGTTTGAAGTTGGTGATTTAGTTAGGATATGTGTTTTGTTGCCGAGCTGAGAAGGTCCTTATGTGATTAGTGATGTGTTACCAAATGGAGCGTATCGGATAATGCATCATGATGGGTTGGAATTTAAAGGGGCTGTGAATGCAAGATTTTTGAAATCATATTACATGTTTATAAAAAATGTTGAGTAGAGTGTGGATGGGCTAAATGTGAGTGAAATGGTGTGTTGCATTGGTCGCAAGATTGTTCATGTTTTATCTGGTGCATACATCATATAATTGAGTGGCTAGAAAAAATACACACATATATATAGATAATAAACCAGTGTCAAAATGGCGATCAAAAGGATATGAATCAACTTGATTTAATCCATCATCTTATGTGCGATGTGCAAATGTGCATCAGATAGACCTATTGTGTTGTTGTCTTCCTGAAAAACGAGTAGGCACCGGTATAATGGCGAGCTGGAGCAAAGTGTTGGCATTTGGCTCTGGGTGCAGCTGGGATGGTCAGGAGCCGAGGATAAAACTATTTTAGCATGGATAATCCCGACATAAGGAGAAGCAGGTGCTGCAAGATTGGATGCCATTGCATTAATTTCAATTTGGACAATAGAATCCCATAATGCAATCACTGTCTTTCATTCTTCTTCAAGAGTGGCGAGCCCCTGATCACTGTGGCGAAGGTCATCGGTCAGTAAAGATTCTCGTGCTGCTATTTGTTAATTTTAGGGTCAAGCTTGATAGATTGGAGGTAAAGTTGTTGGTGTTCTCGTTGGACGGATAATTCATAGGTCAATCCTTCAATTGTTGGTTTCACTTCTACTAGGCGAGTTTGCACCTGCACTAATTCATCTTGTAGTACCGTTTCCTCATGTTGCAAAGAAGCTAACTGGACTTTTTTGGCTGAAATATAATTTTCTACCATTTCGAAGTTTTGGAAGAGAGCTTGTTTGTTACCTTGTAGGGTAGATAGTCGAGCTAGATCATGTCTACTATTTACCCTTTGATCCTAGAGAATTCGGCGTCGTTGACCCCATTTCCCCTATCCGAGATGCAAACGCTAAAATTTGGGATGCTTGAGTAGGAGCAAGTTTGACAATATCACTTAGCGCCAAGTGGATTGAAGTCAGAGCTTCAAGGCTAGAAGGGAGTTCTTGAAGATAATGCCAAATAGAAGAAATATTTGTTCTGAAGCAACTCAATGTTAAAAGGTGTGAAGCAGGTCCTTTTCAGGTGGTAGACTGGAAGTATTCCTTGAATACTACTTCGGCTGGACCTCGAGAAGATGGAATGGTTGCTGGAATGGTCTGAGGAGCAGCCGGAATAGAATCAAAAGAACTTTGAGCAACCGGAGGTGGTGTTCCCTTCGGTTTCTCGGAAATCATCTGGGAAAGAGTTCATCGCAGGTTGAATTCGAATGAAGCTGGTCAAAATCATAATAATAATAGTACTAAAATTTTATACCTTTGATAGAAAAGAGGGGTATCGCCGAATTATTTGGCGAGGAGGCGAATAAAAAAAGTTAACCACCAGGGATGAAATATAAAGGAAAAGATCATTAACATGAGGTTAGAAAGAAAAACAATGTATGTATGTTGATAGTACCTGGAGATAAAGGAGTAGGGGATCGTGCATTGTTATCCAATCGGGTTGAACTTTTGGACTCGGATTAAACATCAACCAACCGTTCCAAATAGGTATGAACTAATTTTGGAAAAGCTAAGCTCCACATGTTAATCTACTATTCTTTGAAACGAGCAGTTTCCTTGGGTGTGACATATCGAAACTAATGTTCTCGAAAGTGTGCATACAAGATCGAATTTCTTTACAAAGGTGAAAATCTGCTTCTGTCAGTCCATGATCCCACAAGCATGGCGAGAGTGGAAGACCAATTAAGAGAGAAGGGATTGGTATAATCTGAGTCAAACCAATTTTTCATGCACAATACTGAGGTAGGTATGATTCAAGCTTGATACGGTAGGAATGAGATTTTATGCAGAGACCGTTAGTTAAGGGGTGGGCTGTCAATACGCTCAACCAAGATGAGTTCGAAGGAGAGGTTGAGTTAAAAGCCTTTATCAAGTTTTTGGTGAACCATGATGGTCCGTAAGTTCTATCGATAGCAGGAATAGCAGGAAGTTAGGGAAATTCACTTGGGTTAAGAGAAAGTTGACGATCTCAAAAGCGGTTTTGTAGGGAAAAACTATTTTGATTAGGAATAGCCATATATACGGTCAAGTTGGAATCGAGGAGTGGGAATGGAGTCATTATAAAGGTCAGAAAAATACAAAGAAGTAACAATAATGAGAGGTACCATAAAGGATTGGATGAACTTGAAGGCGGTTTCATTGTTGCACATTGCTCCGATAATTTATTCAATCCAAGATATAAATGAGATAAGAAGGTGGAAACGAGGGCAAAGTGTTGACCTGATATCATTACTTCCATCAAAGCTTCACATTCTTGGGCTACGCCTTTAGCTACGGTGTAGATAAAAACACAAGAATACCAATACATTAAGAAGACCACATTTTCTTCGTGTTTCACTTTGCCCTTCTTCTGATTCCTGGTCACATAAGTTTTCATATTGCCCCTACCTCTTGTAAAATGAAATAACCATGGACCAGGATAGTCCATAGGACGCCAAAGGTAGTCTGCGGCCATCTACAGGCAGTCCTAATACTGCGGCAACATCCAACAATGAAGGAAACATTGGACCACACGGGAAGAGGAAAACGCTAAACTCACTATTCTAATACCCAATCAAGCTCGCTACCACGTCTACTGAGCAAGAGAAAGGATGATTGAAATTCTCACTATCTCATAGATACCGGAAGTGTGCCATTTCTTTTCACGAGCTTTTAATAGCCTTTCCATCCATGAATGGTAACCGGTGTTTGTTCGCGGTAATTGAGCGAGAGAACTGGGGTATATTCTAGAGTTCAACCATAAGCAAGAGGAATAAAGTACATCGTCCTTCGAATCAGCTGGGGCATCGAGCAGCGTCGGTAAAGTTTTCTCAAGATCGAAAGAGAGTTAAAGAAGAAAAAATCCATCAAAATGGTTACCGAAGAGTTCCGAAAGCTTGAAAATATTTTTGGAGTTAGAGGTGGACTATCAAAGGTGTTGGGCATTGCTTTCTTGAGAGTGTTTGGTTGGGAAGAAGTTTAAACTTGGAAGTGACGAGAGGGTTTGGGGTGCAGAGAAATCTCGGGCAAGAAGATTTCGATGATGGAAGCAAGGTCGGTTGAGTGAAAAATGAATAAACGGATTGATCTCTATCCATTTGGGTTTATACAAGGTGGATAGGAGTTTGAATAAATGGGTTGATCTTGGATGTTGTTGACCTAAATAATATGATAGCCTAGTTTCATTAGGAAATAAAAATTTTCAAGTAGGTATATTTCAAAATTTTTAATTGTTTTGAATAATTAATATTTTGTGAAATATATGGAGCATTTATGTTGATATGTTTTTTTTTTTTTTAATTTAAAGAACAAATATTTTTTTTGGCAATTCAAGGAAAGTTCATAATGCATGGAGTAAGTGTGATCAAATGTGAATTATGTGTGTGCAACGGCTGGGAAGAAATATGGAAGGGTGAAAATACTTAATTGCTCATTAAGATGGTGACTAAGAAAGGAGAAATGATAGTGAGAGTTTTGGCTTTTGAAAGCAAAGCAATAATATGTAGTAAGGGACCAACAACTTCTTTATTGCAGTATCTTTACCGTTTTTCTTGTCTTTTTTTTATTTGTTGTTTTCTTGTTTGATTTATGTTCTTATAATTGACATTTCTCAAGCCAATACAATTTGTCGCTGAGTGCATTTTGGGTTCAAATTAATTTAATTATCTTCCCAAAAAAATTGATCACGTACGACCGGGAGCTCACATCGAGTCACCCGGGAATCCACCGTATCTCAAGAACGAGAATTTTAAAGTCGGAATCAATTTCTAGTCTAACAGAGTCCTAAATGTGGCAAGTGATTGCAGGTTGTTAGGGAGGCAAATGTTGGAGATGAAACGGGACGATAATTATAAATAATCTTCTGCAGGTATGCCTATGAAATTGATATTTGCATTCAATATGGCTGGTCCTTGATATGATTCTCTGATTTTTTACTGACAAGTTTGTTGTCTGCATTTTCTTGCATAACTTTGCCTAAAGATTCGATCTGTAGCTTTTACTCCATGGACAATAATACATAAAGATTTACAAAGCCCTTCCCTCTGGCAGTTGTCTAAGTGGCTTTACCAACAGTGAATAATAAATTTGCTTGAATGATTCATTACCAGACATCAACTCACCTGTTAAATACTTCGAAAAATTATTTATTTGAACTGGAATAGAGATAGTATCCTAATTAATTTGACTTCGAGCTCAGTTCATGGTTGAACAGGAATCTTGCCTACAGTTGTAACTTGTATACGTGAATAATTTATATATTTCAACTGAAATTCGACTCTATATTTTCCTCCAGGGTTGTTCGGTGATCTATTAAAGAACTCATGGTTCATGGTACTTGTACTATTACAAATACAATGGAATTATGGAGGAGATGTTGGAAGAAGTGACAACTACCCTCGAAGATGTGCAGGTATTTTCTGTTACGTTATAATTTTTCCTAACAATAAAAATGGTATCTATCTTGGCATACCATCTTGCAGTTGAGCGGCAAGTGTTTCTTTCATTTATACCATCTTGGCACTACTAAAAATTAAAAACAGTATTTACCTTGAATTAAAACACCTCTTTTTTTTTATTTTTAGGATGGAATGAAACATATAGAAGAGGGAACGTCCAAACTTGGGGGCAATGACTATAGCAAGGGCGAGGAGTTTCTAAGCTTAGTCTCATGTGATATGAAAAGAATGTATATTCGGATTGGGGTCGTTGGCATCGACAGTGCCTACTGAATGATCGTTGTTCGGTAGCGACTGTCGCACCCCTATAGTTGAGCCTACAAGTAGGTAATGCATAATGATTATTAAGCGGGAGCAACAAATTCTAAGGAAACAAAATATGACCAGCATGGTACAGTTCAGAAGATTCAGACTCACTTAGACCGCCGTGACCCGAACGGTGATACCGGTGCTCCCCCGGTCGCATGATGTATTCTTGTTTTATATTTCGTTTAGTTTTTGGCATTTTTTGAATTAATGGAATGGTTACTTACTGAAGATAAGTTTATTTTGTATTATCTTGAGTTATTGAATTGATTTCTTATATTGTTAGTTTGTACTTGCTTTAGACATGTACAAATTTAAAATGGATTTATACTGTTAGTTTATAGTTATTTGAGACAGATATATGAATTCGAAATAAATCTATATTATTTTGGTAATTGTTTGAGATAGGTGTACGATCGAGAGAAATTATAAAATAATTTACGATGGATTTTTGCTCAAAATAAATTCCCTCGCAAATTTAAATCAACCAAGAACGAATTTTGAGAGGGAATTTATTTTCTCGCAAAATTTGTAGTTATATAATTACGAAAGACTATACCTCGAAAAATTTCCTCGCAAACATTTACGAATGAATTTTTCCCTCGCAAAATGTTGCGAGGGAATTTTCCTCAGATCCAAATTAGCGAGCAGTTGTTTAGCGATGACATTTATTCTTTCGCAACTTCTTTCGCTAACAGGTTTTGAGAGGAAAATAATTTGATTTGCGAGGGAATTTTTCCTTCGAAAATGAAGAGTTGTTTTTTGTAGTGATATTACCGACACAATTTCATATACCTCATATACAAAAATCTAAATCGAAATACTAAACAAACAAACTCTCAATTTTTAAATAAATATGGTCATGTAACAGATCGCCTGATGTTGTGGGGATGGACTCGTGAACGTAAGGTCATTGGTTCAAATCCCGATGCCCCTAAATCTTGTATGTCCCAACATGGTTCATCTAGTGTGACTTGTTTTATCGAACTTAGTTTGCAGACTATTAAATTCGATCCGAGGTATACCCAAAAACACACCCGAACGGTAACGGCTGTTGCGGGTTGCATGTGAGCTGTGAGCAAATGTAACAATATTTTATAAAACTTTTCAAGAACAAATCATATACATGACTATTTTAATATAGATATTATTTAAAATGACTAAAATACTAATAAATATCATATACAATATTATATATACATTTATTGTTTTTTTTATATCTTAATTTTTATGAAAAATATATTATTTTCTATATTAAATATGATATCTAACGATTATTCTATTAATAAATTGAACTATAAGTACAAAATTAAATATAAAATAAACACACCTAAAATAATCATATTTTAATATGAATACCTTTATAGTTAATTAATATTTTTATATTAAAATATTAAAATAATACATAATTATTGACACAAAAATTTAGACCCGAAGGTTTGATATTGACACTCATGTAAAGGAGCTGATTTTTGTTCATTGCTATTGAATATTCAATCTTAATGAATAAAATTTCATACAACATGAATTATTGATATTTATGAAGAAGAAAAATAGATTAGAGATGTCCAAATTCTCAACTACAAAACCTCACTACCAAAAACGTTTTCACTCTATAGGAAAGTTTTTCAATAAAAGTTTCTCCAAAAAGTTTCCTATCTATCCAATGTTGCCCTTAAAATTTAAATAGCTAGGAAATACACAATTTCAAAGTATATCAATCGAATATATCAAAAGTTTGAAGATCATTTCGTTTATTTTACTAGTATTTTTAGTATATTTTTTATTCATGAAATTAAATGATTCTATCATTAAGTTTTTTTTTTTAAAAAAAAAAATCACTTTGAATATCAATTTGAAATTTTCTTCGATTTTGTTAATTTTCAAATGTAACAAATTGATGATTATAGTGAAAGTACAACCATTGATTTTCAACAACATTGATCAATTGGATTTTTACCTTCTTTTAGGATGAGAAATCGCTAAATTGAGTATGGTGAATTCAAACACATATCGTATTAAGTTAGGATTCTATGGTCCCCGCATCAAGGACTGCCCGGGTATATATTTGGACAAAAAATGTAATTGATGCAAGATAAAGAGGGACCAATTGGTCCCCATTTAGATGCAAAAGGAGAATAGTTGGACCTTCACAATTTTTCTTGGCGTGACAAACGGATTGCAATAGGCTCCTTTTATGCTAGGACAAGAAGAAATTAGGTCCAACATAAATTGTGGGTAGCACAGCACAATCCCAGTAAGCTTGTCATTCAATGGCAATAGTCATCACCCGATGTAGTGCAGCACTTAAGCGACACATAAAAAAGCTTGTCTAAATGAACTTTTCCCCGAGTCCAAGGGTAAGACATCAACCACGTTCCCTAACAAGAAGTCCTTTGGATGACGAGAAAAGGGCAGGGCACACATGCTTATGTGCGTGAAATAGATGATGGGTTTGTCAAGTCATTACTCGAGAATGATGGGTTCAAACTGCTATGGTAGAATCACAAGCCATTGCACAAGTATTTAAGATTCATTTTGACATAAACACTAGAGTTGTGAATCAGACCGCTCCAATTATCGTCGGTCATATTTGAAAAAGATAATCATAGAGCACCTGCTTCCATTGAACCTTAGGTGCTGGGTGCCCATTTTAATGTCTTTTTCAGCTGAAGATAGATGCATTAACCATTGGGCATATTAGACGAGCATGAAAATAACCTGCATTCCCTAATTCAACCTAATGAGTATAAAATACACCATCAAGGCAGCTTGCAATATATGAAAAAAAGCAGTGGAAGTTTCCAAAAAATACATGCTAACATGATCTTCCTTCCAACCGACTATTAGATTCAACCAACGGTTTACTTATTGAAGTTTACTCAGTAGCGACCATGAATTTTCATGTCATGGATAAAAAAAAAAAAAACAACGAATGAAATCAAATGTTACGCAAAACAGAGAACCAACATATGTTTACACTATTTATTCATTACTCAAACTATATATATATATATATATATATAAATGGATCTGATATGTATCGCTACCTCAGGGAAGCCATCCCGGGAGCTACAATCTCCAGAAGCCCTTTCGGGTTGTCGACATGAACCCAGTGCCCTGAATTTGGAAGGACATGAATCAAGGTTTTCCCCACTGTTTCATCATCCCGTTTAGAGGCCACGTGATCCAGCTGTTCTATGATATCCCGGCTCCATCTGTCGCTATTCTCAGCACGTACTATGGATATTGTCATGCCTTTGGGTGGCTGCTCCAACAGGGGCCAATAATCCATCTCTCTAACATTAATTCAAAAAGGATCTTCAATTTAAACACCCATTATGTTTCTAATTACAAAATAAGGGATGATGCACGAAATGTTTTTTAAGTCACCTGTAAGACTTAAACATCTGCACAGCCCCGTCAAGATTAAATGCCCAAGTTTCCTTGTTGCCGGATTTCTTGAGGTTGCTTCCGATCCAATGTGATAAACTCTTTGAAAACCCAAGCTTCAGCATGTGATCTACCAACCACCTAACAAAACTATACGTTATGGCCTGATAATTGACGATAAAAAGCATATCACATAACTTTTTCAAAGTTAGAAGCCTCACACCCTTTAAGTTTAAAAAAAAAAACATAAACCAGCTATGATAAGTCAATTGAATAGGGCGCATCAATGCCAACAGCAGATTCTTCTGACTAACAAGCAAATGAATTAACTACCGAAGCATTGATCACAACTGTTAAATATAATTTGCAATTCCAAAATAAAAAGAATAAGAATTTCAACGCACTAATTTTCAAGGCAGTGAAGGTTCAAGAACAGACTTTTGACTATTATCAATGTATCAATAAATTTTACCTACTACAAATAATCTTCCTATAAATACCCATGTAGTATGAGCATTTGAGAAATGAGAAAGCATCAACATTTCTATCAACATTTCTTTCAAATAAAAGTTCTCTCTACTATAATTCTCTTCCACAACTCCTCAATTCTAACAGATTTGGTATCAGAGCATTAGGTTTTATTATCAAAGAGAAGATGGCTTCAGCATCAAATTCAGTTTTCAATTATACCAGTGCCCAAATTCCCATTTTCAAATTAAGAGCATTTCGATTACTGGAGTTCGCAAATGGAGACCATTTCCATCTCACAAGATTTGTGGGATGTTCTGGAAGATGGTTATGAAGAACCACCAGAGGCAGCAACCGAAGATTGGACAGAAGAAATGCAGAGAAATTATAAGGAAAATGTGAAGAGAAATGCGACAGCATTGCGGTTTATCCAGCAAGCTGTTGGCAAACCTATCGACCGCAGAATTTTTGGCATTAAGAAAGCGAAGGAAGTTTGGAAGATTCTGAAAACAGAGTTTCAAGGATCGAGAAAAGGTGATTACCATAAAGCTGCAATCTTCTATGAAGGAAAATGAAATGGTACGCGATTTCTTCTCAAAAGTCGCTGAAATAATCAATCAAATTAAAAGTTGCGGAGAGGAAGTTCCAAAGACAAAAGTAGTGGAGAAGATTCTGAGAAGTTTGCCGCAGAAATTTGAGCACATCATTGTTGTCATCATTGAGACGAAAAATCTCAGGACACTAACTCAATTCGAACTTATGGGAACCTTGGAAGCCTATGAGCAAATAATGAGCAACTACAATAACCAACCATTAGAGCGGGTTTTTCAAGTAAAGGCACACATTTCCAAGAATTCATTGCAACAAGGAAGAGGGGGATCTTCCTTCGGTCAAGCACCCGGGAGAGGGCGAGACCGAAAATTTCAGAAAAGGGATAGAGGGAAAGGTGAATTTGAAAATCAGATGTAGAGTGTTACGTGTTCAATAAAAAAGGCCACGAATCAAGAAATTGTTGGTAGAGATGCAAGACATGCAAGGTGCCAAACCATGCCGACAAAGATTGTTGGCATAAACAAAAGAATAAACAAAGAGAAGAACAGAAAGAGGCGCACTTCTCAGCAGGGGATGAATCATGTAAGTTATTTATCTCCCGATCAGATAGTAGAAAATCAGCCGCGATGTGGTACTTGGACAGCGGCTGCAGCAACCATTTATCTGGAAATCAAGAAGATTTCCATAAAATTGATAGAGGCTACTCCTCACATGTTGAGCTCGGTGATGGAAAGAAGGTGATGACTGAAGGAAAAGGAATTGTTTCCGGTCAAACCAAAAAAGGTGACAAATTCATCCATGATGTAAATTTCTAGCCCAATATATCACAAAATCTTTTGAGTGGTGGGCAAATGATGAGAAATGGATATAAGCTGATTTTTTCCAATGGAAGGCGTGAAATTTTCGACAAAAATTATGGAGATTGTGTAGCACAGGTGGAGATGTCGGCTAACAATCTTTTTCCTCTCAACAATAGAGTTGCATGTCGCATTGAAGATTGCTGCCGAGGATGACTCTTACCTTTGGCATTTGAGATATGGACATCTCAATTTCAAAGGCTTGCAGCTTCTACAGCAGCAGAAAGACATGGTTGTCGGTCTTCTAAAAATCGGAAATTATGAAAAAATTTGTGAAGGATGTATATATGGAAAAATGCATCGGCTCCTATTTCCGAAAGTTGCAGGGAGAGCACATGCACCTCTTGACATTGTGCATGCAGATATTTGTGGTCCAACAAGAACACGGTCATTAGGAAATAAAAGTTACTTTCTTTTATTTGTTGATGACTTTACGAGAATGATGTGGGTATACATCCTAGAGCATAAGTCGGAAGCATTTCAAAGGTTTATGCACTTTAAAGCACTTTCTGAAAAACAAAGTGGCTTTGCAATAAAGTGTTTACGAACTGATCGAGGAGGAGAATTCATCTTCAAGCCATTCATAGAGTTTTGAAGAAAAGAAGGGATAAAAAGACAACTCACAGTCCGACACACACCACAACAAAATGGTGTAACAGAAAGAAAAAACCGGACGATTGAAAAAATGGCGCGAAGCATGCTTACTGGAAAAAATCTACCGAATGAATTCTCGGCAGAAGCTGTCCACACTGCTGTGCATATTCTGAATTTATCTCCAACGAAAGCAGCGCGAGACAAGACACCATACGAAGCATGGGATAAGAAGAAACCCATTGTAAGTCAATTGAAAGTTTTTGGCTGCATTGCCTATGCTTTAATTCCATCCAAAAATAGGGAGAAGTTTGATGGAAAATGAGAAAAATTTATCTTCATCGGATATAGCGACGAATCAAAGGGATATCGCTTATTCAATCCATCAACGAAGGAATTGGTACTATCAAGAGATGTTGTCTTTGATGAAACCGTGGCATGGAAATGGGATAAAGAAGAAACAACAACAACCTCCATTGAGCTCGACCCACTTCTTCCACAACAATCATCCCAAAGAATTACTGATCCATCAAGCAGTAACTCTCAGCAAGAAGTATCAGATTCGGATGAAAAGCCATGCAGGTATCGTTCTTTAGATGAAATTTATAACTTATCTTATGTTGCGCTATTTGCATGCGAAACACAATCTTTGAAGAATCTATGAAAGAAGAAGTGTGAAAAAATGCGATGGACGATGAAATGAAAAGTATCGAAGAGAATCAAACATGGAAGTTGGTGGATCTCTTCAAAGGCGATTGGATTGAAATGGGTCTTCAGGACCAAGTTTAATGAAGATGGAACTATACCAAAGTACAAGGCACGACTTGTGGCAAAGGGATATATGCACAATAGCTTGGAGTGGATTTTACGGGGACATTTGCACTCGTGGCTAGAATGGAAACAATAAGAGCTGTTCTTGCAATTGCAGCACAATTGGAGTTGAAAGTGTTCCAACTTTGACGTAAAAACTGCATTTCTAAATGGAGAACTAGAATAGGAGGTGTACGTCAAACAACCACAAGGATTTGAAGCGAAAGGCAAAGAGGAAAAAGTGTACAGGCTGCACAAAGCACTGTATGGGCTGAAGCAAGCGCCGAGATGCTAGAACAATACGATTGATGCATATTTCCGGCAAAATGAATTTCTGACAAATCCTTCCGAACCATCTCTCTATGTGAAGAAAAATGAGAATGATTTTTTGATGGTTTTCCTATATGTCGATGATCTAGTCTGTGCAGGAACAAATGATGCAATGATGAAATGGTTCAAAGAAGCGATGATGAGAGAGTTTAAAATGACCAATCTCGGAATGATGAAGTATTTTCTCAGCATTCAAGTAAAGCAAGAAAATGGAAGCATCTCCATTTCTCTGGAGAAGTATGCAACAGACATGTTAAAGAAGTTTATAATGGAGAATTGCAAGTCTGCTGCAACACCCATGGCCCTGAACGAAAGATTAAAGTTTGATGATGGTGCAGAAAAATTTGACCCAAACATTTATCGGAGCCTTGTCGGATCGCTCATCTACCTAACACACACAAGGCCGGATATCTTACATGTTGTAAATTTGATTTCCAAATTTATGAGCAATCCAAGCAAACCACATTTTGCAGCTGCAAAAAGGATTCCCCGTTACATTCAAGGGACAAAACATCTTGACATCAAATATTCGAGGGAGGAGAACAATAAGTTGATTGGATTCACAAAGTGTGATTAGGCTGGAAGCCAAGATGACCGGAAGAGCACATCGGGATACATTTTTTTGCTTGGGATCAGAAGCAATTTCGTGGAGTTCGAAGAAGCAAAGAAGCAAAATTCAGTTGCTATGTCATCCGCGGAGGCAGAGTACATTGCTGCGAATAAAGCGGTTCAAGAAGATGTTTGGCTCAGAAGAATTTGAAGAGAAGTTTCAACAGTTCAAGAAGGATTTTGGAATTACAAATTAAGAGGGGGGTGTTAAATATAATTTGCAATTCCAATAAAAAGAATAAGAATTCCAATGCACCAATTCTCAAGGCAGAACAGACTTTTACTATTCTCAATGTATTAATAAATTTTACCTACTATAAATAATCTTCCTATAAATACCCATGTAGTATGAGCATTTGAGAAATAAGAAAGCATCAACGTTTCTTTCGAATAAAATTTTTCTCTACTATAATTCTTTTTCAAAACTCCTCAATTCCAACAACAACAACATAGAAAACAGAGGATTAAAGCATTGCCACAGGTCGCAGTGTTAAAGGCAAGTAATAAATTTTCCAAAACATGCACTAGACGAATCAATTCTGCACTTATAATCAGATACTAACAACAAAGATCATATCACTAGATTATCAACTGACCAAAGAACAGAGAGTAAGGGAATTACTTCCTCGACGGGACTGTAGAAGGTAGACTCTGCAAGGTCTGCAGAACTTTTTCCACTTCACCATCGCTATTATCCTCTATCACTTTTCCAGGAACGGAATCAAGTACCCACAGCTGTTCTGCAACAGTTTTACACGTACATTAGCTGAGAAAGTTAATATCAAAATTATAAAGGAAAGCATCCGTATTGAATCACATGGAACAGGATTTTCATAATCTAGTTAAGGTGCATATTTTATTGCCTAATAAGGCTTACCTATTGTTCCTCAAAAATATATCACTATCAAACTATAGAAAATTGGACGACAAATAGATGAGATTGAAGATTAGATCATCAAAGGAAAAATACCTGTTTGGGCAAGCTAACATTTTCCCCAAATTGCCCATTAACACAATGTTGAGCAAATTGCAAAGCAACCTTCCCTCCCATTGAATGACCTATAACAACATCCGGCCACTTCCAACCTTCGGAATTCACCAAATTGGCGAGATCTTTCGCAGCGTTTTCCAGATTATGAGGTGGCAACAATCCTTCTACCTCAGCAGACTTGCCGTGATTCCTCAAATCCACAAGAACCATCCTCCAAACTGCATGGCATCATAAGCTATGTTTCATTATATGTATGAAGCATGAGAATCTGTCTTGGTTTCACTTTGAACATGAGCTGATAGGATATAAACGTGCCTTACTCTGACAAGGCTATGCAATCACAATTTAACTAAGAATCACCAACTATGGCGTCTTCTAAAGAATCCTCCAATGCACAAAACATACCAAATTAATCAAAATAATTCGTACGCAAATAGGTCAAGCACATTTCTAGGCCTGGAAAAACAAATTAAGCGGAAATTTGACCTATTCATATCCGTTAATTGCTTGAACTTATTCTATTAGCTCAGAAGCAAATGAATGAACTGCCCTAACCGTCAATACCTCACCTCTCATGCGAAACTGCATCCCATTAAAAACAAAAGAGAGAAACACGTAGACATGAATTGCACAAGCTAAAGAGAATGTAAGCCAATTCACGCACCGGAGGGAGAAAGACGCGAAGCGAGCAATCGGGAGAAGGAGCGCCAGTTCCGACCGGAGCCCAGGAGGCCGTGGAGTACAAAAGCAGTGAACTCAGCGGGCCTGTCCTGAGACGATTTGACCTCCTCATAAGCCAGGGTTTGTAAAGATCGACGGTTGTGGTGGATGCCTTCCAGCAGGCGGCTCAAACATGATTTTATGAGAGATCTAGACATGGCTTTTCGTCCAATGATGTTGCAGCTGCAAGCAAGGAACTTGAGGAAGGGGGATGGGAGTACGCAGGCTTCAGGTCGAGATCGGATAGTCGTGTCGTGGATGCAATGGACCAATAGTATAACGCCAAAGCGACGAGGAACGACGTCGTTTGTTGGAAGAGAAACTGAAACTATGACTTTGGGTTTCCTTACCAACCAAAAATTATTGACAAACTTCTCTTTCACTAAACATTTTTTAATAAACAATTCTCCATAAATTAGTATTAAAAAAATATAAATATAAAAATTAATTAATATAATATATATTATTCACTAATAAAAAATCATTTATTCAATACAAAATATTATTTTTTATATTATCAACATAGTTATCTTTGTAACACAAAAAAATCAGTTCATCTAAAAAAAATAGATGATTATTCTCAATATATATATAATGTTTTCCTACAAAAATTTAATATTTAATATAAAATATTATTTTTCATATTACCAATAAAATTACGAAGGGGGTGTTTGGCAAATAGCTTTTTGAAGAGTTTTTAGCTTATTGAACAGCTTTTAGCTGTTTGACCAGTCAAAAAGCTAATTTAAATTAGCATTTTGGAATAGTTTTTGGATCAAAAAGCTAATTTCTGAAAAGCTAACTTACCCAGCGTTTTGAAATAGATTTTTTTGTTTTTATTCCTTATATGCCCTTAAAAATTCATTATGCATTTTACACAAATAAATATATTTTGATTATTTATTAATTATATTATAATATTTTATTATATTATATTTTTATTTTTATAAATTTAAAATAATTAATTTTTATATAAAAATTATTTTAATTGTAAAATATATAAATTTATTAAAATCAACATAAAATAGAAAATATAAATATTAATAATTTATTTTTATATTAAAATTACATTATATAAATTTTATACTAAAAATAAATTAAATAAATTAAATTTATTGAAAAATTATAAATATAATGAATTAATAGATAACTAACATAATAAATATATACACGAAAAATTTATTATTTTATATTTTACATCATTTTCAATAGAAAAACTATTTATATATTTTAATAAAAATATATTATTTTTTAAATCTAACTGTAATAAAAATAAATAATTTTATAACATTTTTACAATTTTCAATAACTAATAACAAAAAATTTTAAATATTCTAAACTCAAAAGAACGTAATTGAATATATTAGAAATAAAAATAAAATAGAAATATCCTCAATTGTCATTTTACGTATAAACAGCTAATATCAAACAGTTCTTTTACCAAACATTTTAATACAAACAGCTAATCGAATCAGCTAGTCAAACCAGCTAATTGAATCAGCTAACAGCTATCAGCTAATTGAATCAGCTAACAGCTATCAGCTAATTGCCAAACACGCTCGAAGTCTCATATAAAAAAAATACCTTAAACTAAAATACTAATCAAACAAATTCTTGTTCTTTTATAATTCAAACTCAAATCAATATTATTTATATACAATTTTTAATAAAAATATATTCGGCTTGTTCTTCCAATATCATTTTTTAATTGCGATTCTAAAAAATTGTAATGCCCCGATTTCGGAATGTATAAAATAATATTATTATAGCAAATAAATATTTGACAATAGTAATGGAATCAAGAAATTAATATTTTGGGATAAATTATATTCCAATTTTGTATATTAGTTATAATTAAAAAGATTGTTAAATGGATAAATATCGATAAGGATAAATATAAAAATATAATATAATATATAATTTAATAATAATAATAATAATAACGTTAATAATAATAATATAATATAATATAATATATATAATATATATAATAATAATATAATTATATATATATATATAACAAACTTACCTGCGAAGGAACGCAGAAGACGAAACGCGAAGGAGAAGAAGAAAGGAGAAGAAAAAAAAAAAGGAAGAAAAAGATTTAGCCGTCCGATTCCAATTCCGACTTGGGTATGGTATTCCTTGCTATTCGTAGAGTCCGATTATAAATTTTAATACGAATTTTGATATTGGAGTATTAAATTAGAAATTCTTCAAAAATTCAAAATTGGCTATTTAGCTATTTAATCGATGAATTTCTTTAGCTAATAGCCTATTCGTAGCGCCGACGTTATATTTTGAGAATTTCGTACCAATCCAAGTCGAATAAAAAAAACGGCAGTATATTGCACCTGCCTGCTTGTTCATACCTTTGCGTATTTTTATTTAATAATCGGGCAATATAAATATTATGAGGTAGAAGGATTTTATAGCTAGAATATCATATTCTACTAAATATAAAAGTTTGGAGCCCGACGAGTTAATTATAGAAATTAGCTTTGGAATAAGCAGGTAGCTCCTGAGAATAAGCATAAAGCTCATCTGATTTGAGTAAATAATGGGACAGGTGTACGTTGGAGGAGACTTGGGTGAAGTTATAAAAATCCAGAAAGTATCGGTAGGAGGTAAGCAGTAGGGAATTAAATCTAATTTTAAGAAATTAGGTATGCATGTTGCATGCGATTCTGATTAATATGTTAATATGATATTATGTGGAATCATTTGGTCAGTGCATCTATATATGTATATATGTGTGTGTATATACATGTGTGAAACTTCGTTTTACGGTAATTGATATACGTACTTGATCGTGTTGGTGAATTTATGAAAAGGAGGATAGGTGGGCCGTCTCACCAGCCCTTTTCATTAAATTCACTTATTGACATGCTGCACACATCGCACGATTTATCGGATATGTTTTATGGATCTATCGTTTAGTCGCCGTGTGCGGTAGTGCTAGGCGAGGGCATCATCTGGGGTTAGGATATTCGACCCCGATGTACCGTAACACTTTGGCGATAGTGGACGATAGTCGGACAACTGGGTGACTTAGTCGCACGGTCATTCAGGGATTAGACCCATTGCAGTTGAGACGTATTTGGTCTAATCATTCGTGTTCGGTGTTGTTCCACTCATTGGAGTAGCTACTAGTGAGGTCTACCGGTAGTTTAGGATCATATGCCAAACTCCAAACGCGATCCCGTTAGGGCGTGCGAGGAGGAGTAGAGTTTCCGGGTTTCCTTCGGGTGATTCCAGGTTGCACGGATTCTACTACGCTACACGGGGTAGGGCTAGACAGGAGGGTCCTATCTTCGCTATCACAGACTATGGGGTGTCTTGTGGTTAATGGCGACAACGCTCGGCTATCCATGTATTGATTGCGGGAGTCGTATGGTGGGTATATGGAAGTGACCGGGTGACCGTTATATTATTATGGGTTTACCAGGTCCTTCCTTGAGCCGAGGATTTTCCGGCTATTTATTGATGATAGTCTAGTGAGCCGTTATTATGGAGCCGAGGTTATTCCGGCTGCTCACTTTGACATATGTATATGGGTATATGTGCATGAGTTGTCGATTTTGACATTATTGTTACATTATTTCAGTATGGGCATGGCATGGCATTTATTTTGCAAATGACGGAAATTAAACTATATTTTCGAGCATGACATGGCATATTTTATGTTAGTTCTTAAAATGGATTTAATTCTAGACTGCTTTTAAGAAAAATATTTGATTCAGGTACGCATGGCACCTCCGGGACAGGGGACGTCTCGGGAGATAGAAAGACGGGCTGAATGAGTGAACTGCATCTGATGTATTATATGTAAATTCTAACTAGAAAAACCTCCCGTTTTGGGAGTATGTTTTTGTAAATATTTATAAACCTGTTTTTTTTTGGGAATAATAAAATGCTTATATAATTAATTTTAGCCTTAACACTGTGTTGTGGGGCCCGAAGTAGGAGGTGACGACCTCATGATGCAGTGTGGCGGTAGCATTTCCAGTATGAGCCAACTGGGGGTGTTACAAGTTGGTATCAGAGCCTAGGTTTGATAGATTTTGGCTCTTTGAATTAAAAAGGTTTTGAAAATAATAATGATATTGAATTGGTTTGGTGAGGTTTGGGTTTTGCGGGTGCATTCATGTTAATGTGATCTATCTTTTATTGTTATGCTTGGTTTAGCTGTGTGCTGAATTGATATTGAATCAGGAAAAATTGGGGGCAGTATGTCGAATTCTCGAGGTGGTGGTGTACGTAGGGCTATTCAAGGCCCAGAGTTTGATCCTTCGTCTGATAAGTCACAGTATCCTGTGCCAGCGCATGTACCAACAGAGGCACCTAGTCAGGATTTCTTTCGGCAGTTTATGGCCGCGATGATGCCTCAACAGAGGAGTTTCATTGATGCTGTGATGCGGCATAACCCACCAACATATTCTGGTTCAGTGGAGCCAGGAGTCCTTGAGTTTTGGGTTGAAAAGATGGAAAAGATATTTCGTGTTGTTCAGGTTCCGCCAGATCAACGAGTTAATATTGGAGCCTATTTCTTGGAAGGCCGAGCAAATCGGTGGTGGTTAGGTGAAGAAGCTGCAGGTGTAGACCAAGTGGATATGACTTGGGATGAATTTAAAGCAAAGTTAAAGGCTAGGTTTATACCGTCGCATATTCGAAAAGCGAAGAAGCAAGAATTGCTGGACTTAAAGCAGGGCTCGATGTCAGTTGAGGATTATTTTGTGAAGTTTAATGAGTTGGAGATGTATGTTCCTGACTACTTTTCCGGTGAGCGAGACAGAATTGACCATTTTGTAGACGGGTTGCAACACAGAATTCAAGAAGCTTTAGCGGTGTTGGATATCAGTTCATTGTATGAGGCTTACGAGCGTGCTGCCCGATTTTATCAGAAGCAGGAAGTCAGACAAAAAGAGAGTGAGAAGGAAATAGGTTATCAACATCAGGTTCGAGATAAGGGAAAAGCTAAAGTGGAGGATGAGCCCAAGGGTAAAAAGAAATGGTGGCAAATGTTCAGGTCTGGGCCATCGTATAAGGGGATTTCGATTAATGAACCGAGTCAGGAGAGGTCTCAGCAATCGGGGGCTGTTTGTCGGCGTTGTGGAACAAGCCACCCAGGTACTCGTTGTGATAAAGTTCCATTGACATGTTTTAAATGTGGTGGTAGTGGTCACATTGCCAGGTTATGTCCAAGTGTGGTAACTGCAAGGGAGTTTCCAGAACCGAGGTTTAGGCCATGGCAGCCGCCGTCTTCGCAGTCACAAGGGAGAGGATTAGGATCATCTTGGCGAGGGGGACGAAGTCAGTCACGTTCGTCATCTAGGCAGCCAGGCAGAGGACCTGACCAGCGTGGACGAATAAATGTTCTTACCCAAGCAGAAGCTGATTATCATCCAGGTGAGGTTTTAACGGGTAGATTTCTGGTTTGCGGTTTTCCTGCTCTTGTGTTATTCGATTCGGGTGCAACGTTCTCGTTCATATCTAAGCGTCTAGTTAGACGATTGGGTCTGAATTCATCAGTAGAAGTGGTAGTGGAAGTTTTACTTCCATCAGGAGAAGTGCTGGAATGCCGAGAGCTTTATATGCAGATTCCGGTTAGTATTGAAGGGGTTGATTTTGTTACTAACTTGTTGGGCATCAAGCTATCCGAGTTCGATGTAATATTGGGGATGGATTGGTTAGTGGCATATCAAGCTCAATTTGATTGTCGAAAAAGATCAATTTCGCTGGTTGGAGCGATGGGCGAACTGGTGAATTATGCAGGATCTGCCAGACAACCTTTTATGAAGGTAATTTCATCCCTATCATTTCAATCATTTATTCGTAAGGGGTTTCCAGTATATCTGTGTGAGGTAAGAGATTTGACGCAAGGGGAGCAGCGATTGCAAGATATTCCTGTAGTCCGAAATTTTCCTGATGTATTTCCTGATGATATTCCGGGTATGCCACCAGCTCGTGAGGTGGATTTTACTATTGATATTGTGCCGGGTGCTGAGCCAGTATCAAGGGCTCCATACCGGATGGCACCTTTAGAACTAGCTGAACTTAAATTGCAACTACAGGAATTGCTAGATAAGGGTTACATTCGGCCTAGTACATCGCCTTGGGGAGCTCCAGTTTTATTTGTGAAAAAGAAATATGGAAGTTTGAGGTTGTGTATTGACTACCGTGGACTGAACAAAGTCACGGTGAAGAACAAATATCCTCTTCCGAGGATTGATGATCTATTTGATCAACTGAGAGGTGCAACTATATTCTCAAAGATTGACTTGAGATCTGGATATCATCAGCTAAGGATTGCAGAGCATGACATTCCGAAGACAGCTTTTCGGACTAGATACGGGCATTATGAATTCACGGTTATGTCCTTTGGGTTGACTAACGCCCCGGCTGCGTTTATGGAGTTGATGAATAGAATTTTTCAACCATACCTCGATCAGTTTGTGGTGGTATTTATTGACGATATCTTGGTCTATTCCCCAGATAAAAAGACGCATGCAAAACATTTGCATGTAATATTAAACATATTGCGTGCAAGAAAGTTATATGCCAAGTTATCCAAATGCGAGTTTTGGTTGAAGGAGGTTGCTTTCTTGGGGCATGTTGTTTCTGGAAAGGGTATCTCAGTAGATCCTTCTAAAGTGGCGGCAATCTTGGATTGGCCAAGACCTACCAATCAATCAGAAGTAAGAAGCTTTTTGGGTTTGGCAGGATATTATCGGCGATTCGTTCTTGATTTTTCGAAGATTGCAAAACCATTAACTAATTTGCTGAAAAAGGATGCAAAGATTAACTGGGATCACGAGTGTGAGTCATCCTTTTTAGAATTGAAACATCGATTAACTTCAGCGCCAATTTTGGCTTTACCAGTGGAAGGTGAGGAGTTTGAAGTGTATAGTGATGCTTCGAAGCAGGGATTGGGATGTGTCTTAATGCAGAATCAAAGAGTTATTGCTTATGCATCACGACAACTAAAACCTCACGAAGAGAATTATCCGACACACGACTTGGAAATGGCAGCAGTTGTGTTTGCTTTGAAGATTTGGAGACACTATCTTTATGGAGCCCATTGCAGAATATTTACTGACCATCAAAGTTTGAAATATATCTTCACCCAAAAAGAATTGAATTTAAGACAAAGAAGATGGTTAGAATTGGTGAAGGATTATGATCTTGAAATTGTGTATCATGAAGGCAAAGCAAATGTTGTAGCCGATGCCTTAAGTCGAAAACCAAGGCATAACTTGGGCTTCATGTCGGTTGCTGATGAACTGTGCCAAGATTTAGCGCGGATGGAAATTGAGGTACTTGGACGGGGTATGACTCGGGGATATTTGCAAATGATACAAGTTGAGCCTGAAATTTATGATCGCATTAGAGCGGCTCAAATGGAAGATAATAAAATGGTTGAGCTTGTAGTGAAAGTTCAGTACGGTCAGACTCAAAATTTTAATATTGCTCCAGATGGGAGTCTTCGATTTCACGGGAGGTGGTGTATCCCAAAGGATCGAAATGATTTGAAAGAGCAGATTATGAGTGAGGCTCATAATACACCATACTCAGTGCATCCGGGGGGAAATAAAATGTATCAAGACTTACGTCAACATTTTTGGTGGAAGGGCATGAAGAATGATGTAGCCAAATTCGTTGCACGATGTTTAAATTGTCAAAAGGTAAAAGCAGAACATCATAGACCAATGGGGTTGCTACAACCTTTAGAAGTTCCACTCTGGAAATGGGATTCTATCGCAATGGATTTTGTAACAGGACTTCCAAGGTCAAAGTCGGGAACAGATGCAATTTGGGTAATTATAGACAGATTGACCAAGTCAGCAGTGTTCATTCCAGTACGTATGACTTGGAGTATGCAGAAATTGGCCAAATTATATGTTCATTATGTGGTTAAACGACACGGTATTCCTGAGGTGATCATATCAGATCGTGATCCACGTTTTCAATCTCGATTTTGGCAAAAATTGCAGGAAGCCTTTGGTACTCAGTTGCATATGAGTACTGCATTCCATCCTATGACTGATGGTCAGTCAGAAAGAACTATCCGTATTCTGGAAGATATGCTAAGAGCTTGTGCTATGGAATTTCAAGGGAGTTGGGAAGACCACTTGGATTTAGTGGAATTTTCATATAATAATAGCCATCAAGCAAGTATCGGAATGGCTCCTTTTGAAGCTCTTTATGGTCGAAAATGCAGAACTCCTTTGAGTTGGGACGATATGAGTGATCGACTGATACTGGGTCCGGAAATGATTGAGGAATCGAAAAATAAGATTCGAATTATCAGAGAAAAGATGAAGGCAGCTCAAGATCGTCAAAAGAGTTATGCCGATAGAGCCCGACGTGAGGGTCAATTTCAAAGTGGAGATTTTGTCTTATTGAAAGTATCCCCAATGAAAGGTATTAGAAGGTTCGGGATTAAAGGAAAATTGAGTCCGCGTTATGTTGGACCTTATGAAATTGTCGATCGAGTTGGTGATTGGGCCTATCGGTTGGCACTTCCAAATTCTATGGAGCGTATCCATAATGTGTTTCATATATCTCAGCTTCGTAGGTATGTTGCAGATCCTTCTCATATTTTATCTCCAGATGAGATAGAGCTGAATGAAGATCTTTCGTATGAAGAAAAGCCTCTGTGGATCATGGACACAAAGGTCCGAACCATGAGGAATCGAGATATTCGTATGGTGAAAGTAATGTGGTCCAGACATGGAGCGGAAGAGGCCACGTGGGAAGTAGAACAAGAAATGTTCAAGGCATACCCACAATTGTTTAATTAAGTTGCCTTGTTATGTGTTTGAGTTTAGATTTCGGGGACGAAATCTTTTTAAGGGGGAGTGGATTGTAATGCCCCGATTTCGGAATGTATAAAATAATATTATTATAGCAAATAAATATTTGACAATAGTAATGGAATCAAGAAATTAATATTTTGGGATAAATTATATTCCAATTTTGTATATTAGTTATAATTAAAAAGACTGTTAAATGGATAAATATCGATAAGGATAAATATAAAAATATAATATAATATATAATTTAATAATAATAATAATAATAACGTTAATAATAATAATATAATATAATATAATATATATAATAATAATATAATTATATATATATATAACAAACTTACCTGCGAAGGAACGCAGAAGACGAAACGCGAAGGAGAAGAAGAAAGGAGAAGAAAAAAAAAAGGAAGAAAAAGATTTAGCCGTCCGATTCCAATTCCGACTTGGGTATGGTATTCCTTGCTATTCGTAGAGTCCGATTATAAATTTTAATACGAATTTTGATATTGGAGTATTAAATTAGAAATTCTTCAAAAATTCAAAATTGGCTATTTAGCTATTTAATCGATGAATTTCTTTAGCTAATAGCCTATTCGTAGCGCCGACGTTATATTTTGAGAATTTCGTACCAATCCAAGTCGAACAAAAAAAACGGCAGTATATTGCACCTGCCTGCTTGTTCATACCTTTGCGTATTTTTATTTAATAATCGGGCAATATAAATATTATGAGGTAGAAGGATTTTATAGCTAGAATATCATATTCTACTAAATATAAAAGTTTGGAGCCCGACGAGTTAATTATAGAAATTAGCTTTGGAATAAGCAGGTAGCTCCTGAGAATAAGCATAAAGCTCATCTGATTTGAGTAAATAATGGGACAGGTGTACGTTGGAGGAGATTTGGGTGAAGTTATAAAAATCCAGAAAGTATCGGTAGGAGGTAAGCAGTAGGGAATTAAATCTAATTTTAAGAAATTAGGTATGCATGTTGCATGCGATTCTGATTAATATGTTAATATGATATTATGTGGAATCATTTGGTCAGTGCATCTATATATGTATATATGTGTGTGTATATACATGTGTGAAACTTCGTTTTACGGTAATTGATATACGTACTTGATCGTGTTGGTGAATTTATGAAAAGGAGGATAGGTGGGCCGTCTCACCAGCCCTTTTCATTAAATTCACTTATTGACATGCTGCACACATCGCACGATTTATCGGATATGTTTTATGGATCTATCGTTTAGTCGCCGTGTGCGGTAGTGCTAGGCGAGGGCATCATCTGGGGTTAGGATATTCGACCCCGATGTACCGTAACACTTTGGCGATAGTGGACGATAGTCGGACAACTGGGTGACTTAGTCGCACGGTCATTCAGGGATTAGACCCATTGCAGTTGAGACGTATTTGGTCTAATCATTCGTGTTCGGTGTTGTTCCACTCATTGGAGTAGCTACTAGTGAGGTCTACCGGTAGTTTAGGATCATATGCCAAACTCCAAACGCGATCCCGTTAGGGCGTGCGAGGAGGAGTAGAGTTTCCGGGTTTCCTTCGGGTGATTCCAGGTTGCACGGATTCTACTACGCTACACGGGGTAGGGCTAGACAGGAGGGTCCTATCTTCGCTATCACAGACTATGGGGTGTCTTGTGGTTAATGGCGACAACGCTCGGCTATCCATGTATTGATTGCGGGAGTCGTATGGTGGGTATATGGAAGTGACCGGGTGACCGTTATATTATTATGGGTTTACCAGGTCCTTCCTTGAGCCGAGGATTTTCCGGCTATTTATTGATGATAGTCTAGTGAGCCGTTATTATGGAGCCGAGGTTATTCCGGCTGCTCACTTTGACATATGTATATGGGTATATGTGCATGAGTTGTCGATTTTGACATTATTGTTACATTATTTCAGTATGGGCATGGCATGGCATTTATTTTGCAAATGACGGAAATTAAACTATATTTTCGAGCATGACATGGCATATTTTATGTTAGTTCTTAAAATGGATTTAATTCTAGACTGCTTTTAAGAAAAATATTTGATTCAGGTACGCATGGCACCTCCGGGACAGGGGACGTCTCGGGAGATAGAAAGACGAGCTGAATGAGTGAACTGCATCTGATGTATTATATGTAAATTCTAACTAGAAAAACCTCCCGTTTTGGGAGTATGTTTTTGTAAATATTTATAAACCTGTTTTTTTTTTTGGAATAATAAAATGCTTATATAATTAATTTTAGCCTTAACACTGTGTTGTGGGGCCCGAAGTAGGAGGTGACGACCTCATGATGCAGTGTGGCGGTAGCATTTCCAGTATGAGCCAACTGGGGGTGTTACAAAAAATAATAATAAAACACACAAAATATTTTATACAAAAGTTAAAAAATAAAACGAAATCAAATATTCATTACGTAAAGTCAAAAAGCCATTACAAAAAGTCAAATATTCATCAAAAATAATGTATTTATATTTTTGACACAATTTCTTGTACCGCATACAAAAAAAATCATTTCATCTAAAAACAACGGATGAAAAGACTCATTATTTTTTCTTATTGTTACGTATGAAATTTAGAATTGGGTTAAAAAGCCCAAGGTAAAAAGAAAAATGGGCCTAGCAATCGAGTCGATCGAACTGGCCGAGGGGCACTGTGGGAAACACAGGCAAAATGGATATATTTCTAAGGAAACAACAGGTCGGACAGTCCTCAGGTCGAGAGGTCCGCAAGACGGAACATCAGCAGGTCGGACGGTCCTCAGGTCGGGAAGTCCGTAGGTCGGGAAATCCGCAGGTCGGAAGATCCTCAGGTCGGGAGGTCCACAGGTTGGGAAGTCCTCAGGTCGGGAGGTCCGCAAGACGGAAAGTCCGCAGGTCGGACGGTCCTCAGGTCGGGAGGTCCGCAGGTTGGGAAATCCGCAGGTCGGAATATCCTCAGGTCGGGAGGTCCGCAGGTCGGGAAGTCCTCAGGTCGGATGGTACTCAGGTCGGCTGGTCCACAGGTCGGGAAGTCCTCAAGTCGGGAAGTCAGCAGGTCAGAAAGTCCTCAGGTCATAAAGTCCTCAAGACGGAAAGTCCGCAGGTCGGACGGTCTTCAGGTCGGGAGGTCCATAGGTCGGGAAGTCCGCAAGTCGGAAGATCCACATGTCAGGAGGTCCGCAGGTCGGAAAGTCCTCAGGACAGAAAGTCGCAGGTCAGAAGATCTTCAGGTCGGGAGGTCCGCAGGTCAGATAGTCTTTAAGTCGGGAGGTCTACGACTCGACCAATGAGTCGGATGGTCTTTAAGTCGGGAGGTCTGTGACTGGACCAATGAGTCGGATGGTCTTTAAGTGGGGAGGTGTGTGACTGGACCAATGAGTCGGATGGCCTTTAAGTCGGGAGGTTTGCGGCTGGACTAGCAAGTCAGGTGGTTTGCAAGTCGGGAGGTTTGCGGTCAGGCCAAAAAGGCGGAAGGTCTGCGGTCGGTCCAAGGAGTTAGACATTGTTGAGAGTAAGTGAGAAGGATACTATGGTCGGTTGAGGGCACGTGTCAGTAGGAGAAAGGGTTAGTAGATGGTTGAAAAGGAGACGTTGTAACCGTTCGGGCGACGGTTTCCAGTACAGTTTCTCAGGGAGTATTTAAGGATTTGGATTTTTCTGGAGAAGGTATCTTTAATCAACTTCAACGAAGCAAAGTCAGATTCGGGGATCACCACTATAAATTTTCAGCATTTTAATTTCCAATTAATTATCTTATGTACCGTACAGTGTTTAGAGATTTCTAATCTCAGACGCTAATTAATTAAGTTTAAAGATATTTTCCACATCTTTGAATTTTACTTTTTGTTTGTTGAAAAAATACATCAACACTTATAAAACATCTTATTAAAACACTATTTAAATGAAAACTCAAATCAACACCTCATTTCAAATTAATTTCAAACCATAACAAAAAAAATTCTATAAATTAGATTTATTAGAAATACTTTTTATGTTCCAACTAAAAGTATTATTTTTTATCATTTTTTTCCGTACCACTAAAAGATTTCTTTTGAAAGTAATCACACACTAATACAAAAAATACTCTTAATTTTTATATAAATTATATATATACCATTATATATATACATGATATACAAAGGGATAATTTTGGCTACTTTAGTTTTGATTACTTTCATTTACGGTTTCAATTCATTTGTCAAATATAGAGATTTATGGAATAGACTGAGCTGTCATGGAGAAAATATACAAGATCTGTGGATAATTCTTGGTGATTTCAATGTTGTATGGAAGCCATCTGATTTTTTGCAATGACATATTGTTTGCCACTATGACTATAAGGATTTGCTATCATGTGTCTCAGCGCTTAGCTTCTATGATCTCTATTATTTGGGATATTGCTATACTTGGATGAATAATCAAATTTTCACGAAATTAGACCGAGTTATGGTCAATAATTGCAGGCTTTCACTAGGCTTTACAAGCAGCGCTTCATTCCTCCTCTTGGGCTTCTCAAATCACTTTCGGACAACTAGGATTTCAATTCCTCTGTAGCCTACTTGGCATGTTATAGGTACAACTCAGGTCCATGTCGTTTTGAAACTCAAGTTGTTGAAATATAAGAGCTCAACAAAAATCACTAATCCCACATTTTGGAACGAGCTAAAAAGGCTACAGAGGAATTGAAATATATTCAGACCAATGCTCATTTGGCTCCTGGTCAAGCATCTCCTAGAACCCTAAATTGACTTCGTGCCAGTGTTGTGATCCTTCAAAAAACAGTTATACTTTTTCTACTAAAATAAGTTTGAACTTCTGATGGATAATGACAGGTGTTCCAAAATATTTCATTCCTTGATTAAAAGAAACTCTAAGAAAAACTATATTGTTTGCTCTCCTTGTGAGGATGGTTCCACTGCAACATTCTTTGATCGAATAGTGGAAGTTTTCTAGAATTTTATTCTAAATTTTTCGGTGTCCCAACTAAAATATTTTGTATGAATTATGATGTTATGAAAAATGGGGCTCTTATTCTAGAGTCCTTCCGCTTCGAGCTCTTAGCTCCAGTCTCGCTTAAAAGTGTCTACTCAACATAAAATATATATATATATGGGCATCGACAAAGCCCTAGGGAGTGATGGGTATTCGGTTGGCTTCTTTACTACGACACGGGATATTATTGGTAGTGACATTTTTGGTGCGGTCATGGATTTCTTTTCTAATTGAAGAATGTGCAAGGGGCTCAATCACATGATTCTTGTTTTTATTCCTAAGATGACAGTTGCTTCCAGAGTTGGTGACTTTAGAACGACCGCTTGTTGTAAGGTTATTTATAAGATTATTGCTAAAATTCTTGCAAATCAAACCAAGCTTTGGCTCATAAATATCATCAACAAAGCGCAATGTGCCTTTGTTCAAGGTAGAAACATAGTTGAAAATATTCTCTTATTACAAGAGCTTCTCAAACACTATACAAGGAAGCGCAACAATCCCCCTTTCTCCCTCCTGATGCGAACGCAATAGAAGGATTCGAAAACTCGAAAACTACAAGGAATAAAGAAAAAGAAAGATGCGAAATTTGGTGGAAGGATAGGGATGAAAAGGATATGGATAGAAGGATACTTTAGTTTCTCGATTCACAAGGTTGATCGGATAAGCACCACATGAGAACTAAGCAACACGTAACACAAAATTTCTAAACCAAACAAGAAATAAAGAAGGATAATTTGGATTATTGATCCACATGGTTGGTTGGATGAGCACCACGTGAGAACTAGGCAGCATGCAACACAAAATCTCTAAACCAAACAAGGAATAAAGAAGGATAATCTGGATTCTCGATCCACATGGTTGGTCGGATGAACACCACGTGAGAACTAGGCAGCACGCAACACAAGATATCTAAACCAATAAAGAAATGAAGTTGACGCAACAAGCGGTCCAACACCGATTGAGAGGCGACAAACTATTTTGAATCACTCGAAAACAACCCGATTTTAAAAGATTACCGAGGATTGCATCGCACAATCTCGAATAATCAAGCAAGCAAGAATCACTCTTGAAAGCAAAGAAATTTTATAAAAAATATCATGGTTGTGTCGTTACAATGATAAACAAGGTCTTATATATAGAGGTCCGTAAGGATAGAAGAAATGAAGCACTATAAAATAAGGAAATAATTTAAAATGCAACATCTAAACTAGGAAATAGAAAAATAAGGAAACAACTTATTAGGAAATATAGTAAAATAAAACTTAGACTATAAAGAAATAGGTAAAGATGGAAACTCTTTCCAAATTATTGATATTCTTTGTTAGTTGTCTTGGTAAGAAGTCTCGAATCTTCTAATGATGATCTTGGGATGATTAAGTGATCGGAGAATCAAACTTATAATAGTCCATAGCTAGTCTATCTTCGGCAATTTCCTCGATAATGGAGTCCATAGCACGATTGTCCTAGAAAAACATAGCCATTTGAATCTTTTGTGCTTGGCTCCGGAAAACCGGTTCGGCTAGAAATATTGATGTATCGTTAACTCTCATAATGGTCACATCACCTCCGTGTATGATCAAACTTGATCTTCGAAAGGATTTTGATTCCATCTCATGGGATTTTCTTCGGGCTCTTCTTACTAAGTTGAACTTCCCGGACAAGTTCATTGGTCTTATTATAAAGTGTGTCATCTCTACATCATTTTCTTTGTCAATTAATGGAGGATCATATGGGTTTTTCAAGTGAAAGAAGGTTTGAGTCCTTATAGGTCAAGTGGATGCATCCATCAGTATTTCAATATATATGATAGTTGGCTCTATGCAACAAAGCCTCAGGACTCATTCATTGTTAAAACTATGTCATCCATCCGCGACAGGTTAGTTTCACACTTTAAATATATTGACTATGCAAATGAGACAATTACCAAATAGTTCGACCAAAGGAAAGAAATTCACTCATTCTATGATATTTTTCAGAACTCCAAGCCCAAAACAGACCATTTTTAGATCCATCTGGGAAGCTCCGATCCTTTTGAAGCATTCATGATCTTAGGAACGCTCAAAACAAAAGTTTTTTAAAATTTTCTCGACATTCATCCGCTTTGTGTTCTTTGCAAGGAACAGAC